TGGAACTGGAGGACGTCCACAGCTTTACATATTTAGGGAGTATCGTCACATCAGACGGAGGAGCGGACGAAGATGTAAAAAGCAGGATAGGCAAAGCCAGGCAGGCCTTTATTACCCTAAGACCAGTGTGGACCTCAACATCAATATCCGTAAAAACCAAGCTACGAATCTTCACCACCAATGTGAAGTTTTTCTACACGGTTCCGAGACCTAGAGAGTGACAAGATCCATATCAATCAAGCTGCAAACCTTCACTAATTGATGTCTGAGAAAGATCCTAAAGATATACTGGCCAGAGAAAATCAGCAACAGGGAACTTTGAGCAAGAACAGAGCAAGAATGTATTCCAGCAGAGATCGCCAGGCGCAAATGGAATTGGATTGGCCACACATTGCGGAAACCAACATCTGATACAACCAGACTGGCCCTTGAATGGAACCAGGGTAAAAGGAAGGTAGGAAGACCAGTGAAAACCTGAGGAGGAGGTCAGTGGAAGAGGAGCTTAAAGAAGCCAACATCACCTGGACTACGGCAAAAAGAACAGCCGCGAATAGAGTCCGCTGGCGCAGCATTGTAACCGCCCTTTGTTCCACCAGGCACGTAATGGCCTAACTAACTAACTATGGCTGTCTAGCATCATAGTACGCTGGACTCTGGATTGAATGTGGCCTGGGTTCAAGTCATTGAGTTGTGTTCTTGAGCAAGATGCTGATGCTTTCACATAGCGTGTCTCCTCTAAGGTTTTAGCCTACAATGCAGGTGGATTTTGGTGAGCGAGCGCACGCAATTTGATAAGGCATCTTGGATTCAGACTTGCAAGAGACGAAAAGGGGTCCTAGGGAGTAGGAGTGAGGCTAACAGAGGAGTAATGGGGGAGGGGGAGGGAGAGCAAAAATACTGAGACAACATCGTGGCAAATCTACTCACAGAAAAAGGCCTGCACTGCAGGCTACCAAGGTCTCAAAATAGGCAGTGGTAAATTAGTTATTCCTAGGGGAGGTGGAGGGTGATAGCCCTGCAATGCTTAGCTATTTATTGACTTGAAATTTGTAAAGGCAAATTTAATAGCTGACATGGCACCTTAGTGAAACTGAAGTTTCAAGTGTTTATCCCCGGTCAGAGCCTCATCAACCAACCTTCACATTGATAAATGGCTAAGTGTTTCACTTGCCCTCCAATGAAGCCCAGAATTTTTTTTTAAGTTAGAAACTAATATTATGGTAACCCTGTAATACCCTGGTGAAAACCTCATAGGATCTTTGAGGACCCACAGATCTTAAAACACCTTCTAAGGATCCTTTCAAGGATTCTTTAAAGATTTTTAAAAGATCTTGCAAGTCTTACACGGAATGGTCTTGTAAAGATCTTTGCAAGGACCCTCCAAGATCTTCAAAAATCTTTGAAGATCCTTAAGGATGTGGTCATGATCTTTGAGTATCCTGGCTAGAATTGTAAAGATCTTTATAGATCTAAGCAAAACCCTTTGAGCATCTTGGTCAAGATCCTTGATAAGGTCCTCATGAAGATTGTGAAGGACCCCCCTCTCCATGGAAGATTTTCACCAGGGTAGAATAGCAACTCATCCAGGTGGGAGTGCAAAATAATACCCTTAGTTATTTCATATGCATGTAATGAAAACCCAAGAAAAGCACTGGCCTGACAGGCTATTAGGCTCAGACACATATGTTACCTTTCACAAAGCTCTGAAACATTTAATACATGCATTGAACTTACCAGACATGGCATATCAGAACCACTGTCAGAGCTCTGGTCTAACATGCCATTTGGATTTTGTCTTGGAGATTCTTCATGCCATGTAGGCATTCTGTGTCGTGCTAATCTACATCTTGACAAAGATAACATGAGTCAATATTAAGAATTAATTATTTAATTAAGAATTAGTTCAATGATTGGCTACAAAGACATTCTCTTTTTCTCATCTTGAGATAAAATTTGACAAAATGTGTGTGTAGATCTGAAAATGCCTGCCTCCCTACTTTATGGATGTGTACATTGCAAGTGTTGTACAGAGCCTGCTTTAAATAGAGAACCTACAGTGTATCTGGAAAGGGAATGAGAAGGGTTTTGTGTCACTTCCCCCTTCCAAAAAACAAAGAAAAACAAATTATATTTCACATTTTGCAGCTCCATTTTACAGATACTGGTACATCCCCACCCTAACAATCATTGGAAGTTTCAAGAGAGAGGGGAGGGTATTCAAAATGCCAAAAACCATCTGGAGAGATAGAGATTATTTCTGGAAAAACCATTTGTTTGAAGACCAAAAGCGTACACCTTCACTTCTGGTCCTCCTTTTTGGAGCAAGAAAACCCTAGCTTCAAACAATCCTGCTGTGCCAAAATGTTCTGTTGTAGCAGGCAAGATAACGAAGTAGTAGGCAGTAAGGGCCAGAGATGGATTTGGTATTAGTCAGAATAAATGAACTCCAGTGTGCAAAAAGCATTAGATTATTTACTGCTGTTGATAAAATTGCTCACGCCAGCACATTTTCACAGTGCTGCCAGCCCATTCCTGTTGTTCCTTCTGGCTAAGGAGTCAGGCCCAGTTAGGATAAAATTCTATCAAGCTATATGGCATTGAAACAGCAACTTAGAGGCAAAAGAAAAGATGATAAACAAAGTGACTTCTGTTGAGATCCCAGTAGAGGTGAATGGTCCTTCCGAAATTGTGACACGAAAAGGTTTGAAATTCAGGTGGGGTGCTAGAAAAGGATACACCATACCCCCTCCCAACCAGCCGGCCTCTAACAAGCCTCATGCTATTGGAAATTATGGATAAACCTGGAATGAGTATATTGTTCCAGTGAAAAACAAAAATGCCTGCAGGAAGAGAGGGGGAGTAATTAAACAGGAAGCAAAAACAACCACAATAATAATAAATATAGACTTACCGCAAATAAAGGATGCAAGATAAGATTAGAACAATTAGTGCTGCAACAACGGCTCCAATAATGATTTCATAGTCAGCATACTGTTTCTTTACAGTTACTTCAAATGGTCTATCTGAATATAAGCAAAATATCAACATGAACAACGCTGAAATCATAGGGTAGTGTCTGGTCCCCTCATAGCACTTTCTGTTTTAAACTTGGGATATTTTTACTCATTCAACATTGTTTTGCAAGTTATACAATGGCTTCTAGTTACAGTTAGGTCTGATGGTTTACTGATAACTGGTCAGTAGAAAGGGGCTGATAACCTACTTGAATAGAAATTGTTAAACATTAGCCCACTTATTATACCACTGACAGACAGATATAACTGTCAAAGACAGACATACATAGAAACTGCTATAAGAGCTACTCAGTATACTACCAACCCATAAACATTTTAGGTTGGTGGAGACATTTAACCCCCAGGGGGAGGGGAGAGGGAGGATAGAATCTTCTATAAGAGGAGTATGTTCAAGCATATGTGCTTTAATACCCTAAGGGTTTGCTTTTGGACTTGAAAAGGTTTAAGATTTGGACGTTCTCTTGGTATGAAACAGGGAATGCTTTGATATTGCCTTATTCTTATTATGGACTTACTTGGCTGTTTATCTGGAAATGGCAGTGTGACATTTAAGTTACATAAATCTCCTTCACAGCAGAAGACTGGATGTGCTGTATTTGTGCAAATTATCTTGTAATGATAATTATTTGCAATGCAGCCTTTCATTAGCTGTTTCTCTTTAAATGAAGAGAAACAGCCATAACCTGCCTTACACCTCCTCTGGGGTTCTTTGCAATCACTAGTACTGCACTCTACGCATTCCATGTCCTCACAGTGTGGGGTAGATATCTTTGTTACATTGGTTTAATATCTTGTAAATAAGCACAAAAGCTAGATGTAAAAAAAAAAAGATATAAATATGTGCAGTACCAAAAAAATTACATCTACACTACCTCAAAGGCATATAAACAGAATGAATTGTGTAGTTTATCATAGACTGTTCACAGCCCTCTATTTTCTCGCATTTTTGTTCGATAGAATTCCGAGAGCAGCGGATGCCAATGCAAAACCTATTGTTTTCATTGTTTTCCTCATTCTTTTGTCCTTTTGTGTTGTTTTAAGCCCTATCCAAATAGGAAATGTTTGGCGACCAAATTGTTTGGTAACCAGACATTTTCCCATATGGACACCTTGTTGTGTTTGATCCTGTTTGATGAAATTTGAGCGTTGACAAACATATTTTGATTGAACACTTTACAACATTTTGCTCCATTTGGACAGTGATCAAACATGTTTGAAACCGTTTGGCCACTTAGTTCAATATCAAGATGTTTGGTCACCAAACATTTCCTGTTTGGAGAGGGTTTTTAACTGTGTCTTCTAAACCAAGTAAGGACCAAAACTCTAAAATATAAAAACACATCAGCCACTTTGGGGGTTTCAAGTTTCCTGTATACTACACACACTGAAGAAGATTTTGACAGAGGTGAAGTTGCTATGTAAGTTTAGCTTGCAGAAAGGAGACCATGCGGCAACCTTTAACCTCTGCAAACTGAAGGGGTAAGGAAAACTATTTTCTGATGTTGGGGATTGAAGAACCTATTTGTTGGGCTGAATTTCATTGATATAATCAACCATTTGTTGTTGAAAAAACTTAAGCTTCTGGTATTCAAGTTTAATTAATTACAGTTGAACCTCCGATTGCAACCACCTCTCGTTAGTGATTGCCTCTCCTCTGCGACCAGTTTTCAAAAATACCCAAAGTTTCCAAGTTAAATCACTATATTTGGAACCTCTCGTAAGCAGCCACCTCTCATAAGCGGCCACCTCTTATAAGCGACCACGACCACTTTTAGGGCCTGTTTACAAAGAGAGAGGGTTAGCCTAGCAAGTGGGTTACCCTAGCAAGCAGGTTATCCTAGCAATCACACATTTTGTCTTTTTTTCTTCCTCGTGTTTACAAGGCAGCTAGGGTTACCCTGGTAGGCAGGTTACCCTATCTGCGTGTTAGGGTTACCCTGGCAAGCGGGTTAACTTTTTCCCTTGTAAACTTTCCAGGTAGGGTTAACCCGCCTACCCGGGTTAACTTTCTAATATTATTGTTCCCAGACCCTTTCAGTGTAACCACGCATTAAGATGTCCCGGGTTGTAGGGTTACCCTACCTGTAAAATTTTGCTTGTAAACCTGGCCTATCTTTTGCCCTCCAGCTAAGGTTAACCCGCTTGCTAGGGCAACCCTCCCTCCTTGTAAACAGGCCCTTTAGAGCTAAAAGTTTGAAATCTTGTTTTGTTTTTAACCACACGTAAGCGACTACCACTAAATGGCAACTACCGGGGATTTTTCTCGAAATTAACTTCTCGTATGAATAAAACATTTAAAACATGGGGCAAGTCTCTGCTGTTACCATATGCTAATGAGGCAAAATTATGACCCAATATGGTCTAAGCTCTCGTAAGCGACCACCTCCCGTAAGCGACCACATAGGCTTGACATTTTGGGTGGTCGCTTTTGAGAGGTAATCAACTGTATTTCTAAAGCTTAACTCGTGTCTGACATCTCTTTCTCTTTTCAAATGTCCCGCGGAAATGGCATAATAAAATATTGAGATAAAAACCTTTCAATCACTTGCACTGAATGGCCGTAATTTACATAAACTACCTTACCTCATTAGAATATTAGTCCCGTGGTGAAGGTAAATGCAGATAAAGGAGGTCGACAAAGGACAAACCTGAAGGCGCGACGCTCGGCAAACTCGACCCCAGGGTCTTCTCTGATATTAAATCCAAGTGGGGAGGGGCGGGGGGGAGGGGTGGGATACTCTACAAAGTTTCATACCTGAGAGGCTCCACCCCGAGGTCCCATCGGGGAACAAAACAATTAACGTTTACGTTCACCTGTTCACTACTGCTCTTAAAATAGACGGGCAGGACTAAATAATGAACAAACACGGGCAAAAAAAAACACACGAGCCATTGCAATTGTCCTGGTAGTTTTCAGAGCTTTCTTCTCCTTTGCAAAGTCTACAGCAGCTTGTGGTGAAACTTTCCCACATTTGATTTGTTTTTCGAGTAGGCAGGTTACAAAATAAACCGATAAATGACTCACGGTAAAGTATCAGCGAACGGCATTGAAATATGCGAACAAGATCATTGTTACCCTGGTATTGATTTCGGCAAACTCTTCAGAAAGGCTTTGCAGAATAGCTGGCAAACAAATAATGACACAGGGGTGTCTGGAAAACCCGAATAGCGAATAGCGAATAGTCGCGAATAGTACTATTCGCTATTCGGGTTTCCAGACACCCATGACACAGGAACAAACATCAGCTATTTTCAACGTATCAACTGTCATATAGCGATAGGTGTATTTTATGGCTACAAACCGTTCGATACTAATAAGTGTCAAATGAAACAGCGATGCAGAAACACTGAAATAAAAAAGATGACGTGGCTTTCCTTATGGTATCGCCACAGGCGGGCCAGACGTTGAATACGATCAGTACGTGACATTATGCTGTTGGCGATTGCGTTACAATTTTAGCCGTTTATAAGACAATGTATGAGAATGCTTCGAAAATTACTCTAAATGCTACGTGTAG